GCTTTTTTCTTTTTTTGCTTATGTGGTGCTGAGGAATCGAACCTAGGGCCTCATGCATGCAAGGCAAGCGCTCTACCACTGAGCCACCTTCCCAGCCCGACCATAATGTTCTTGGTCTTCTAGTCTTGAAATTGGTTAGTGTCCTTTTGGAAATACAGGTTTTATTGGCTAACTGTGGCTAGGTCTTTGTAATTGAAGAGTGAAACACTAGATCATGACTTACCTTAGGTAGACTGCTCATTTTTAGAGATGTGTTTTGGTTTCCTTTCTCAGTGATTTAAGTTTTAAAAGGTATTACTTCTTTTTTAATCCCATACTTCACCATAACATTTGTAAGTCTGTGGTTTGCCTAATGCTTCCTAGAGAAGCTGTGTTGGATGAAGCTTCATGGTAGTCTCTGTTACTCTGGTTTGATAACACACTCCTACAGAAGTAACTCTGTTGGGTTTTTTTTTTTTTTGGGGGGGGTCGGTTGTGGGGCTTGAACCCTGGGCTTGAGCGCTATCCCTCAGCCTTTCAGCTCAAGGTGAACACTCTACCGCTTGAGCCACAGTGCCACTTCTGGTTTTCTAGTAGTTTATTGGAGTAAAGAGTCACACAGACTTTCCTGCCCAGGCTGGCTTTGAACCATGATCCTTAGATCTCAGCCTCCTGATTAGCCAGGATCACAGGTGTGAGCCACCGGCACCTGCCTCTGCTTTTTTTTACTTTTATTTTTTGGTAGGTCATGGGACTCGAACTCTGGGCCTGGGCGCTGTCCCTCAGCTCTTCAGCTCAAGGCTAGCGCTCTACCACTGAACCACAGCGCCACTTGGGCTTTTTCTGTTTATGTGGTGCTGAGGAAATCAAACTCAGGGCCTCATGCATTTGAGGCAAGTACTCTACTACTGAGTCACCTTCACAGCCCCTCTGCTTATTTTTTGAGATAGAGTCCCACTAGGTTTTTAGTTTTGTTTCTCCCAGGCTGGCCTTAAATCACAATCTTCCTGTATCTCTTGATTAACTGGGATCATAAATGTCTACCACTATGCCCGGGAGCAGTTGTATTTCATTGCAAAAGAATCAACAAGTACTTCTGTGTATCTATATAACAAGTCAATGAGTATATTTATAATCCTTTAAAAACATTTGTAATTTTAAGCCAGGCGCTAAGTGGCTCATGCCTATAATCCTAGCTACTCCGGAGGCTGAGATTTGAGGATCATGGTTCAAATCCAGTGAGGGCAGGAAAGTCCATGAAATTTTTTTTTTTTTTTGTTGATCGTGGGGGCTGAACTCAGCTCTTTAGCCCTAGGTTGGCACCCTACCACTTGAGCTACAGCACCACTTCTGGCTTTTTTCTGCTTATATGGTGCTGAGGAATTGAACCCAGGGCCTCATGTATTTGAGGCAAGCACTCTAACACTGAGCCAACTTCCTCGCCCCCATGAGACTTATATCTCCAGTAAATCATTCAGAAAACCGGAAGTGGAGGTGTGGCTCAAGTGATACAGCACTTGCCTTGAGCTGAAAAGTTGAGGGGGGCAGTGCTCAGGCCCAGAGTTCAAGCCATATGACCAATCAAAAAAAAATTTAAGCTCCTTTTGAGTTTAAGCCCTAGTACTGCGCCCCCCCCCCCCAGTTTCCATTTACATGAAATGAGTATCACTTATGTTTGTGTATTTTCTAATTTAGTATTTACTTGATTTGTATATGCATTTATTTGTTTATTTATTTTTGGGTCTGGTTGTGGGGCCTGAACTCTGGGCCTGGGTGATGTCCCTCAGCTCTTCAGCTCAAGGCTAGTGCTCTACCACTTAAGCCACAGCGCCACTTCCAGCTTTTTTTTTTCTGCTTATGTGGTGCTGAGGAATCAAACCCAGGGCCTCATGCATGCAAGGCAAGTGCTCTACCACTGAGCCACCTTCCCAGCCCTATAAATGCATTTATACATTAGGTTCAATACTTAAGATGATTTGGGTTTTATTTCTCTTGGAGTTATGATTCTTCACTTACTTTGTTTTCTCTTTCAACTTGAATAATACAAAAATTTGCACTACCTTTTCGCCAACTATTTTCCTCTATCAAGACATGTCCTACCTGCCCTCTCTCAGCTTTATCTCTTCCTTGGGACAGTGAAAAAGACTTGGGAGGACATAGAAGACATTTCCTGCCGCGACTTCATAGAAGAATATATTACTGCCTATCCCAACCGTCCCATGGTGCTGCTCAAGAGTGGCCAGCTTATCAAGACTGAATGGGAAGGCACATGGTGGAAATCCCGAGTTGAGGAAGTAGACGGCAGCCTAGTCAAGATCCTCTTCCTGGTACTGTTCCTCCATGGAATTTTGGGAAGGTTAAGGTGGGGATTTGGTACATTTAGGGGCAGCCATAAGAGTAATCAGGATGATATCATAGTTGTTCATAGCTTTCTTCTTCCTTTGTTCTTATTTTGGTAAAATTTTATTTTGTCCTTTTGTTCCTATAAACTAGTTACTGCAAACAAATTTTCTTTTTTTTTTTGGTACTGGGGATCAAACTCAGGACGTTGCACTTGCTAGGCAAGTGCTTTGCCACTGAGTGACATTCCAGCCCTGCAAACAAATTTTCCGACTTAACCATGACACAAATCGGCATAGCTTGGTGTTTTGGGGTGTTTTTGTCTTTTGGGTACTGGGGTCAAACCTAGGGCATTACACTTGCTAAACAAGCACTTTGCCACTGAACTGTATCTCAGCCCATTGCATGGTTTTGATTTTTTTTCTCCATGTTTTAACAGTCTTTGTTCCTAAGACTTATGCTCTTCATTACGTTTTTGTTTTGTTTTTGGGGGGGGGATGGTATTGGGGTTTGAACTCAGGGGCTGGGTCTATCCCTTAGCTTTTTCACTCAAGGCTATTATATATATTCTCCACAAGTGACAGGATAGATTCTAACAGATCTTGCTCATTTCCCTTGATTTTCCTTATCTGCCTGTCCCCCAGGATGATAAAAGATGTGAATGGATCTATCGAGGTTCTACACGGCTAGAGCCAATGTTCAGCATGAAAACATCTTCAGCCTCTGCACTGGAGAAAAAACAAGGAGGACAGCTCAGGACACGTCCAAATATGGGTATGTCCTAAAAGGCACCTGAAGGAGGGAAGAATAGGGCATGGTAGCCAAGGATTTTATATATGCTTTGTTTACTCTAAGTTGTTGCTAGTAATGGTGATGGATTTGTGGTTCTGCCCCCACATTCTGTGGCTTTGATTCATTTTAAACAGCCACATAAAAATGTGCAACAACTGATAACTTTTGCTGTTCCCCACGTGAAAATTATCTGCTTTCTGTATTATCAATGGTTAGGTTGTTTCTTCAAGCTTAGACTGCTTTTTTGGTTGTTTCTTATTGTGTCTGTTATAGTTTCTGATTTTTCTTTCTTTTCTTTTTTTTGGGGGATCATGGGGTTTTAATTCTGGGCCTGGGTGCTGTCCCTCAGCTCTTCAGCTCAAGGCTAGCACTCTACCACTTGAGCCACACAGCGCCACTTGCTGTTTTCTGAGTGGTTGATTGAAGATAAGAGTCTCATGGAGTTTCCTGCCTGGGCTGGCTTTGAACCAAGATCCTCAGATTTCAGACTTCCTGAGTTGCTAGGATACAGGTCTGAGCCACCGGCGCCTAGCTTAGTTTCTGATTTTTCTCACCAACATTAGTTATCAAAGAGTACATTTCTCAAAATATGCACCAAAGTCAGGCTAGTGGCTCATGCCTATAATCCTGACTACTCAGGCTGAGATCTGAGGATTGTGGTTCAAAGCCAGCCTGGGTAGAAATGTCCATGAGACTCTTTATCTCCAGTTAACCATCAGGAAACTGGAAGTAGCACTGTGGTTCAAAGTGGTAGAGTTATATATCGTTAAGCAAAAAAAGCTCAGGGACAACCTGAGTTCAAGCCTTATAACTGATAAAAAAAATAAATAAAAAAACCCCACAAAAACCAAAATATACACTGAAGTATAATCTGATTGATGAAATTCAAAACCATTGTATGGTAGTATTCCTATTTATTAGTGTTAATAATGAGAATAGTCTTAGCACTTACTCAGAATGCCTCTTGTAAGTTGAGGATCAGATATATAAATGAATACAATTAGCAAGATGTCATTTTCTCAATGATTAGTTTCCTTTTTATATAGGTGCTGTGAGGAGCAAAGGTCCTGTTGTCCAATACACCCAGGATCTGACTAGTACTGGAACCCAATTCAAGCCAATGGAGCCTCCACAACCCATAGCTCCACCTGTTCCACCTGCTCCATCTGCTTTACCTGCTCCACCTCTGTCCCCCCAAGCAGGTGACAATGAGTGAGTGCTGTTCACTGTTTCTTCTTCACTTTTTTCTATATATTTTCTACATCCTTTATTATATGATTTCATCTCAAATCTCCTAGAAGCTTGGAAAGCCAGCTTGCTCAGTCACGGAAGCAGGTGGCCAAAAAGAGCACATCATGTCGACCAGGATCTGTGGGCTCTGGTCATTCCTCTCCTACATCTCCTCCACTCAATGAAAATGCCTCTGGTGGGAAACCTGGGATTAACCAGACATACAGGTGAGACAAATGTCAGCCTCTGTCTATGTAGGCAGGTTGGCAATGTGGCCTAAGTTGTTACTGTGTAGTGAAAGACCCTTGGCTCCAACAGGCTTTACTTTGAAGTTAGATAGAAATGTGGACTTAAAAAGGAAGTGTTAACTTTGGACACTTCTGAAGTAGAAACTGGATACTTAGAAATACTGTATTAGCCAGGCGCCGGTGGCTCACATAAATCATCTAACTCCTCAGGAGGCTGAGATTTGAGGATCGAGGTTCAAAGCCAGCCGGGGGCAAGAAAGACCGTGAGACTCTTATCTCCAGTAAACCACCAGAAAACCAGAAGTGACGCTGTAGCTCAAGTGGTAGGGCGCTCGCCTTGAGCTGAAGAGCTCAGTGCCCAGGTCTAGAGTTCAAGCCCCACGACCGACAAAAAAATAAAAATTTATATACACATGCACACACACTGTATTATTAGGAAGTTACTTTTCAAAATTTACAATTGAACAAGGTGCCAGCATTGCTTCAGTAGAAAGGATATATCATTATCTACCTCTTTGAGTCCTAAGAGTTAGTAAGGATGTATATAGGACATTGTGTACAGAAGACTGTATTCTAATGTAATGATTCAAAGTAAATGTGTCGTAGGGAAAAGTATACTATTGAAATAGGGAAGTTATGTCTTGCATTTTATTTGCAGATCACCTTTGGGCTCAACACCAGCACTCTCGGCCCCTCAATTGCCTCCAGTCAGTGATGAGTAAGTGAGGATTTTCATTGGCTGGGTTTGGTAAGGCAGTCTAATTTTCTTATGTAATCTTTAGTTGTATGGTGGTACACATGTGTAATCCCAGCACTTGGGAAGCAAAGAAAAAGAGGATTGTAAATTGTGGCCAGCCATGGCCACATAATGAGACTATCAAAACAAAAACATCTTTTCTGTATGAAAGATGAGGAAAATGTTTTAGCTAGGGGGAAGGATAATTATATAATAGAGAGGTCCTGTTGACTTCTGATGTGATTACATGTGTTTTATTTGCAGATTACCAATAGTCTCAACAACCTCGGCTCCAGCACCCCCAGCTCCTTCTGGGCCTCCAGCCCCACCAGCCTTCCATGGCATGTTGGAGCGGGCCCCTGCAGAGCCCTCCTACCGTGCCCCAATGGAGAAGCTTTTCTACTTACCTCATGTTTGTAGCTATACTTGTCTGTCTCGGATCAGACCTATGAGGAATGAGCAGTACCGAGGCAAGAACCCTCTGTTAGTTCCACTACTGTATGACTTCCGGAGGATGACGGCTCGACGCCGAGTCAACCGCAAGATGGGCTTTCATGTTATCTATAAGACACCCTGTGGCCTCTGCCTTCGGACAATGCAGGAGATTGAACGATACCTATTTGAAACTGGCTGTGACTTCCTTTTCCTGGAGATGTTTTGTTTGGATCCTTATGTTCTTGTGGACAGAAAGTTTCAACCCTATAAACCGTTTTACTATATTTTGGATATCACCTATGGAAAAGAAGATGTTCCTCTGTCCTGTGTTAATGAAATTGACACAACTCCCCCACCCCAGGTCGCCTACAGCAAAGAGCGAATCCCCGGCAAGGGTGTTTTCATTAATACAGGCCCTGAGTTTCTGGTTGGCTGTGACTGCAAGGATGGGTGTCGGGACAAGTGAGTTGGGGGAGGGAGTATTGCTGCCTCTGCCTCCAACTTTATTGTGATTGCTTTTCTTTTTTCTTTTTGGTCGGTCGTGAGACCTGAACTCTGGGCCTGGGCGCTGTCCCTCAGCTCTTCAGCTCAAGGCTAGCGCTCTACCACTTGAGCCACAGCGCCACTTCCGGCTTTTTTCTTTTTTGCTTATGTGGTGCTGAGGAATTGAACCCAGGGCCTCATGCATGCAAGACAAGCACTCTACCACCGAATCACCTTCCCAGTCCTGTGATTGCTTTTCTTTTCACCTCTTCCTTTGTCTTATTTCTATCTTGTTTGCCCCATCTCACTTTACTTACTCCTTCAACTGGAATACCTGCCATCAGGCCTTCATGAAAATAATGAGGTAGGGAGGGCAACATCTGATGTGGCACCATTGAGTAATCCTGGGCACATGTGTCTTGTGTTGTTTCTCTGATCCTCCTTCCTTTACTTGGCTCCTATCTCCCACTTTTCCTAGGCTTCTGTCTATCATGTTTTCAGTGCTATTCCCGTTCAATTTTCTCACTCTCTTGTTCTTTCCCTTTTTTATTTATTTTTATTTATTTACTTTTGTCGGTCATGGGGCCTGAACTCTGGGCCTGGGCACTTGTCCCTCAGCATTTCAGCTCAAGGTTAGCCACTTGAACCATAAGCGTCATTTCCGGATTTTTCTGCTTATGTGGTGCTGAGGAATCGAGCCCAGGGCCTCATGCATGCAAGGCAAGCGCTCTACCACTGAGCCACCTTCCCAGCCCTCCCTTTTTTATTTAAACACAAAAAATGAAAAAGAAAATTTTACTGTCCCCATTTTCTTTTTTTGGTCGGTGTGGGACTTGAACTCTGGGCCTGGGTGCTGTCCCTGCGCTCTTCAGCTCAAAGCAAGTGCTCTACTTCTTGGGCCATAGCGCCATTTCTGGTTTTCTATTGGTTTGTTGGAGATCAGAGTCTCATGGACTTTCCTGCCCGGGCTGGCTTTGAACTGTGATCCTCAGATCTCAGCCTCCTGAGTAGCGAGGATTACAGGTGTGAGACATGGGGGGGGGGAGCTTTTATTTATTTATATTCTAGTTTCTAAAGAAAATCTCAACTCTTAACCATCATATATTTGTATCTTCTACAGGATGAAATGTGCCTGCCATCAACTCACTATTCAGGCTACAGCCTGTACCCCAGGGGGCCAAATCAACCCTAATTCTGGCTACCAGTACAAGAGATTAGAAGAGTGTCTGCCCACAGGGTAAGTACTTAGGGCAGTTAGGACATCTCAGAAGCTGAAGAATATGTTCTTGTTAACTTGGCACTGGTGGCTCACACCTTAATCCTAGCTACTCAGGAGGCTAAGATCTGAAGATCTAGTTTGAAACCAGCCTGGGCAGAGAAGTCTCATGAGACTCTTACCACTAATTAACCACTTAAAAACTGGAAGTGGGGCTGGGAAGGTGGCTCAGTGGTAGAGTGCTTGCCTTGCATGCCTGAGGCCCTGGGTTTGATTCCTCAGCACCACATAAGAAAAAAGCCGGACGTGGCGCTGTGGCTCAAGTGGTAGAGCTCTAGCCTTGAGCTGAAGAGCTGAGGGACAGCGCCCAGGGCCCAGAGTTCAGGCCCCACGACCAGACCAAAAAAAAACAAAACTGGAAGTAGTGCTATGGCTCAAGTGGGAGAGTGCTAGCTTTGATCGTCTCACTAGTCTTGAGCACAAAGAGGCTCAGGACCTAGGCCCTGAGTTCAAGCCCACAACCAACAAAAAATAAAAAAATAAAATCCAAAGATTAGATGTGGTGGCACTTGGAAGGTAGAGGCAGGAGGAGTCATAGTTTAAACCCCAGCCTGAGCTATGTAGTGAGTTTGATACAGAGATACTGTCTCAAGTCATTTTCTGTTTGAGAAAAAGATGAGGGTAATTTGATATCTATGTGAATGTACTTATGATGTACTATAGCAAGTGATTTATTTTCCAGAGAGGACAAGCAGGTAAAGAATGAATTATAATAAGGTTTTGTAACCTAGACTGAACAGTTAGAATCAAATGTATGGGGTGATGGGAAGTAGTTACTTGTAAGTAGTTCCTTGTTTAAAACTCTCTATCTTCATTGTAGAGTGTAGATTTTAGAGCAGCGAAAGCTGCCCTTTAACCCTTTTGGGGTTTGAACTCAGGACCTCGAGCTTGTTTGCTGTTTTACCACTTGAAACCAGCATTTTTCCAGTTATTTTGAAGATGGTGTCTTAGACTTTGCTGCCAAGGCTGACTTCACATCATGATCCTTTACCAGCCTCTGGAGTACCTAGGATTACAGTCTTGAGCCATTAGTGCCTTGATTAAAGCACAATTTGAGCCAAGCTCTGGTGATTCATGCCTGTAATCCTAGCTTATATCTGAGAATTGAGATTAGAAGCCTGTCTGAGCAGAAAAGTCTGAGAGAGTCTATCTCCAAAATAACCAGCAAGAAAAAAGAAGCTAAAGGTGGGGCAAAAGTTAGACTGGCCCAGCACTGGTGGCTCACACCTGTAATCCTAGCAATTCAGGAGGCTGTGATCTGAGGATCGCAGTTCAAAGCCAGCCCAGGCAGCAAAGTACATAGACTCTTACCTCCAATAAACCACCAGAAAACCGGAAGTGGCGCTGTGGCTCAAGTGGTAGAGTGCTAGCCTTGAGCTTAAGAGCTGAGGGACAGGGCCCAGGTCAGTTCAAGCCCCATGACCAACAACAACAAAGTTACAGAGTGCAAGCAAGCTGAGTTAATGTACAAGGCTCCGTGTTCATGCCCCAGAACAGCCAAAAAAAAATTAAAAAATTATTTAGAAGACTAAGAGATAATTAGAAAAGTATAAAAAATAAATTATAAAAGTAGGGGCTTTTACTATAGTGGAGTGATGTTAGAATTAAAAGAGGCTAAGCCGGGCGCTGGTGGCTCATGCCTGTAATCCTAGCTACTCAGGAGGCTGAGATCTGACGATCGCGGTTCAAAGCCAGCCCGGGCAGGAGAGACCGTGAGACTCCTATCTCCAATAAACCACCAGAAAACCGGAAGTGGTGCTGTAGCTCAAGTG